CCTGATTATTACATACTTGGTTTCATGACAGCTCCATTCTCTGTAGTCAGCAAAGCATTCTCCCTTCCCAAGCTGAAAACATTCACCTTTCTAATGCTCTTAAAGATCATCCAGTTCATCTGTCCAGGTGAGATAATGTCCAACCCTGCTGCAGAGTTCAGCCCTAGAAAAATAGGTCTTTCTGAGCTGCAGCATAAACAGAAACAAGATTCATAGAGAAACAAACGCAGGCAAACAGTATGAAAGGCAAATCAGAGGTTACCCTACAGGTTTCCTTTTCAAAAGAAAAGCAAATTAACTTTCCAAAGTGAATTAACAAAGTTAGCATTAACGTAATAATTGGTACATGCAGCTGAAAATAGCTCCTTAACCTGTACACATTATTTGTCCAGGTGTCCTTCTTTAGGCAGACAGGAACATGTACTCAATCAGTAGAATTACTGGATGGCAATTTTTGCTGGTCAAATCCACTGAATTAGTTTATGATGAAAGAGGATCCCAGAGAGACTTCTTAAAGATGAAACAACTGAATTTGAAGACCTTCATCAGAGATAATTTAACCTCACCAGACCTGAGGTCAGGAGGTAATTGGGCAAGAGACATCTGCACAGCAGTGTGCTGAGCTGGGAACCGGACTCTGCAGTGGCTTTTTGTTCTCTAGGAGATGGAAAAAAAGGAACAATTCCAGACATCAGAATTAAGTTTCAGGATAAAAACTTAACAGTACTTAACAACTTAGAGGATATCATTTGGGGGAGGGGAGGGAGGGGGGAGAAAAACAAAGCTATGTTATTTTCTTTCAAAAATACAAAATAAATAAATAAAGCACACAGAGCAGCCAGGAACAGTCTCTGAAAACAAACTTGAACTAGTGAAAACAGGCGCCTGTAACAACATCCCATATCACTAAAGTGACTCTGATTTGAGCTGTGTCCTGCTTTCAGCTCTGTGAACATTTGCTCTCTTCCTGTTTTTTTTTTAACCAGCACTAATAAAGCCAACAGGATGTGCCCTCAGTTCTGGCACTGAGCACCTTGCAGCCCTCCTCCTGACTTGTGCTCACTCATAACTTGCTCTGAAAAGCAGCTTAGGGTGGACGCTGGTAGTACTGATGTGGAAGAAGAGGTGTGAATTGGCTCAAAAGCCTGCAGGGGTTGGGAATACAGGTAACAATTTGCAGGCTCAGGGACTAACAAAGAGCATCTAATCTTGCAACCCCAGAGAGCTCCCAGCAGAACCAATAGGGTTGTTCTCTGCGCACAGTGAAGGTTTTGCGGATCAGAACCTCAGTGTATATGTGAGCCACTTTCTGGCACGTTTCCCCTCAATTTTGAGGGGAGGAAGAGGTTAAATTAAACTAACAACCTCTCTACTGGACCTCCCAGCTTGTATCCCATCCATCATAACAGAGCTTCAAGAATGACAGAAACAACACAGATATTCCACAGCGATGGCTCTACACAATAATAATTTGTACTTTTATCACCTATTTTGTCATTGTTGGAAATAACCAAGTAATTTTGTCAGGACGGTATCTCTGATAAAAGCAAAATTTATTCGCGATTGCAATGGCGGGCGTCCCACAAGTAGGAGCGCGCCTATGGACACAACATGACAGCCTTTATACCCTGTTTTCTCCCCTTTGCCTCCCCCTCCCCTGTTTCCCCAATGGCTGGGTACTCCAGGTTCACAATCTTATCAGAAGAATTTACATTTGCTATTTACTTGTTAATTTATTTGTTATCTGGTGCCAGTCAGTAATCATCCAAGATGTCTCGGTGCTCTCCTTGTCTTGTTGATATGGTGATTTTCTTTAAAGTCATCATCGTTAAACAAAGATCACTGGGGGATGATGTCAGGCCTTCCCAATGTCTCTTCAGGCGCTTCCTCGGGCATGCCATGGCTTGTTCTCTGGTTTGCTCTCATGCAGGATATTCTTGCAGTGTATGTGGCAAAATATACATATATATACCTATACACAGAGTGTGCGTTCCTGGGAAGGTTCGTCTATACGATAAGTGATGTAAACTTATCAGAGATCTTCCCCAAGTTAAGTAGAGGGACTCCCAAAAAGAACTATGATAGCGGAGATCATAAAAATAAAAATAATATTATACAATTCTAATGCAGAAACAACACTTGATTCTCACAGTCATGAAGATACTGAAGGTACTTCATTTTCACCGAAGTTAAGCAAGATTCAACACCACTGATGCTAACCGTGTCTTCTGCTCAATACAGAAAGCACTTGGCAAGCTCTGTGCCCACTGCAGCAGGACCATAACGGAAGTATTTCCATGAAGTTCTGGGAAAAATGAGCCCACATGCCTAGCCTTACCACAAGCTTACAACTTACAGGTAGGTGTTCAGAGTCTTCACCTGACAACAGTATTTTCTTCCAAGCTTTCTTGCAATTTAGAAGGGAGGTTGCAGTAGAAGCAGAGTTAGGGGCCTTTTGGAACATCTGGTCTACCTCCTCGAGCATTGGCTGGGGGAGATGCTCACAGTTTTCAGTGCTGGAAGTTAATCTAAGATTAAAGCAAATATAAGTATATAACTAGCAAATATAACACTGAGGACCTGGTAATTAAAAGCTATGGAGTGTGCTGCCACAGCAACTCCACGGGTGCACTAGATCTATTTTCTAGCTAAGCAAACAAGAATTCACTGATCGTAACTTATTTTTTTTATATGCAGATCACATTCCAGGTACTGATATACAAACCCAACTATGAAGACATAACTAAAGCCAGCTGAGGTCCTCGGGTGGAAGGAAATTATCAGTGAGAAAGGTGTTATGCGTATAAGTGAGAGAAAAAAAAATCGCATTGGAATCTGAGCACTTGCATCTCAGTGGCTCACATCTGCAGACACCATTCTGGCAAGCACTGCAGCAGGGAGATCAGGAAGAAACAGAAGAGAGCATTTGTGCAAATTAATTTGGGGGGAAAAATAAAGAGGCTATAGGAAACATACAGTGTAAAACAGACAATACAAAATTGTAGATGAATCAGATCATAGATTGTACTCGGGTACAGCCATCCTAGGCCACGACAGGCTGACAGTCTGGCACTACTCCCTGGCCTTTATTTGGGAGCAGAGGAGCTTTGTCTGACCCTGGCTCTGGGCCAGCATCATCTCTGCTTCTACTTCAGCCTACCCCCACCACTGCACAATAACACAACTCTGTCTTGCTTTGTTCTTAAGTTAGGCATATAGGAAACAACCTTGCCTTCTGGCAAAACAGAAATCAACCTCTGATGGCTTTGTTAGCAACAGCAAACCGACAGCTGGTCCAGAAGCAGGCATTAGCACTGTGTATTACAGTTACAAATGTACCAGTTACAATTGGTCATTATTTCATTAAAAAGTAATGCAACACCTGCTACAGCACTTCACCCCTGAGAGCCACTGAATGACCCTGCAAAAGAATTGTTAACAAAAGAATACATTGAAGTGAGCTAGAAACAAGACTTGAGAGACGTGTGGTTTGTATGAACAGTGATAGGCTTTTATTAATACAATTATTGTAACTGGAAAAGTAATCAGCGCTGTCATGCACACAAGCCTTCCTCCAGGTCTGACCTTTGCATATCCAAAATGCTGTGCACACCTTATTGCGTTCAATACAAGCTATAACTTTACCTATAAACATGCCTCACAACTGCCCATACTCCATCCCCAGTGCTGCTCCTGATGCTGGGAAACATGCGCTGTAGGAAAACCTGCACTGTCAGTTACTGCTCCTAGATTCAGGTATCTTCCCAGTACAATACCAGATTAACCTTCTACCTTCCCGCATTCTGAGTTTACTTAGTTACATCATTGGGTCTAGGCATGATAGTTGTGGGGCTGGGGTCTGTAGAGCAGCGTGGCCTCACTCGGCATTGCCCAATACCTGCACCGTGGGCTCTCTGCTACTCCTGGCACAGCAAAACCCACAGGGTGAAGTAGTGGGCACCTCTGCGCCACATCAATACCCACACAGCACTGCAGGGAGAGGCAAGAACCCAAGAACAGAAACAACACAGCCACCTTCCCCACAGGCCCCTCTGCCTTAGGGCTCCTCCAACCTGCCCCAGCTGCTCCCTGGCCCTCACACCCCTCAGCCCTGCCCTTCTCCTCAAGCTTCCACCACCCCACTGAGGTCCATCCTCACTGCCAGCCCCCACAAGTCCCTTCCAACTCCCACAGCTCAGCTCCACCCAACAGCCCCCATCCCCTCCATAGGGCTGCCAGCTTACAGGCCTCCCAGCAGCCTTCCCCCCCCCCACCACAGGACCCTCCCCACAGCTCTTCTCTCCCCATAGCCCTCCCCTCAAAGGTGATACAGGTCACTTTCTTTAGTAATAGGGATTAGTAACCAATATATTAGTTTAGCAAAAGAAACGTGTAAGCTGTAGTCCTAAAACTTTCAGCCTTAGTGAGTGAATAGCCTTGTTTTCCTCAATAATTTTGCACTGGAAACTTAATCGAATGCTTCATCAAAACACATAAGGACATTTTCCTCAGGTTCTACATATGTTGTTATTAAGAAGTGGCTCATTGTGGCCTAGCAAGCAGTGGGAATCGCCCATACTGGGAAGCAGTGAATGGCAGTAGGTCAAAAGCCTCAGTGATTAAGCTGGTGGTGAAAAACGGGGAAACAGAAGACGGGCACTTGACCACCCTGATTCCACTGAGCATCCAAAGGGACACTGCAGGTATTCATGAGGGAAGAACAAACACTTGCACTGATGTACATCCGTGTCTTGCTTGAGTTGCCTGGTACGTATGGTGAGGAATAAAGGAATGCTGCTTTCTAACACCACACTGGAGTTAGCTTTTTTTCTAGATGTCGGATGACACACACAGACTCATTTCCCCCTCCGCCCCCCCCCAGCCCCTCTGCTCACAGTTCTGCCCCCCCTCCTCCGCCCTCATCCCCCACCCGTTTCCCGCCCACCGCCTCCCCGTCTCCAGGCAACGGCAGCCGCGGAGCAGGGCGGGAAACAGCAGCGCGGTGCATTGTGGGGCGGGGCTGCGCGGCGCGGTTGTTTCTTGGGGCGCCGCCTGTGTTGTGCGGGAAGCTCGGGATGGCGGAGAGACCGGAGGATCTCAACCTGCCCAACGCCGTCATCACCCGCATCATCAAAGAGGCGGTGGGTGCCGGGCCGAGGGGCTGGGCGCGCGGGCAGAGGCCTCGTTCTGCATCAGAGATCCTCAGCGCGGGGTTCTGCTGCCCGAAACGCCTCACGTGAGAGCTGTTCTGAGCTCTGTGAACGCCACAGAACTGACGGGTGCATGAGGCAGCTCCGAGCCTCGGAGAGCAGCAGCTAACTTCCTTTCTAACTTGCTTTCTAGCTGCCTGATGGGGTGAATATATCCAAAGAAGCTCGGAGTGCGATATCTCGAGCAGCAAGTGTGTTTGTGCTCTATGCAACGTCATGGTAAGGATTTGTTGTGCCAGATAAACCACCGACTGATGTTTATAACACATCCCTCTGCTGTCTGGCCTGGAAATTTGTTCCTGGGTACGTGTAACAATTAGACAGATCAGTACAGTGGGAAAGGTGTTACAAGAAAGGCATGGTGACAAAAGGACTGGCGTGACAGAGGTGCTGTAAAGGAAGGGAAGAAGATTGCTCACCCGTGTCAGAAGATTCCAGGTCTGATTTCAGGTTTGCAGGGGAAGCTTCACCAAGGAAGGATCTCTAGGAAGAGATCTTTCCCTAGTGGCAGTCAGCCCTTAAATGGGGCCTAAGAGAAGTACAGCCAGATTCCACCCCTTCCTGTCTCACAGCTGAATTGCCTTCACCTGTGCTCCAGGGCTGACTGGGTCCTTTCCCCAGGTGCTCAATCAGTGGTTCAGCCTGTGACTCAACAGTTACCATACATTATGTTTTGGTATTGTCTGTTTGATTAAACAAAACAATCACATTGTACCCCAGTCCAGCAGACTGCAATGGTTGGGTTTGGACTGCCTTTACAGGTTGGCAAAGGCAAGAACCCTTGGCTGGCTTTGAAAGCTCACCATGCAGCCGTGGAGCTGGTCACACAATAACACCTTTGGAATGGCTGGGAGCATGGCAGAGTGTTTGCCCAGAATATGCTTTGCAGAAGTCACTTCTTTGGTCCTGGCTTTATGGAATTACTGCCTTGTAGCTGGTATTCAGGCCTTCTCCTTCCCCGTGGTTATTTGTAGAAAAGACCCAGGCAATTGGAAAACTCATGATGTGGGAAAACAACACAAACAGCCAGTGAGGACAAGAGGGCATCTTAAATTATTTTAGTAAATCATTAACAAACACTGAACATTTAGGATATTACTCTGTTTTTAATTTGTCACAGAATCATTTGAGTTGGAAGGAAAATTTAAAGGTCACGGAGTCCAACTGCGATGCACAGGGACACCCACAGCTCCAGCAGTGCTCAGAGCTCCATCCCCTGACACTGTCTGCAGGGATGGGGCATCACCACCTCTCTGTGCAACCTGTGCAGTGCCTCACTGCCCTTACTGCAAAAAATGTCTTCCTTATATCCAGTCCAAATCTTTTCTCTTTTAGCTGGAAACCATTTCCACTTGTGCTGTCACAGCAGACAAAGCTAAGGAGTCTGTCCCCTCCCTTCTCTCAGTCCTGTAGATACTGACAGGCTGCTCTCAGCTCTCCTCCATGCTGCATAACCCAGCTCTCAGCCTGTCCACGCAGGGAGGTGTTACATCCCTTGGTGCATTGTTGTGGCCCTCCTCTGGACATGTTTAGAACTGTAATAAGCAAGTACATTGATGGCAGTTATCAATTAGCTCTCTTCTCCTTGTTTCTGACTAGTGCAAATAACTTTGCCATGAAGGGGAAGAGGAAAACGCTGAATGCTGGTGATGTTCTCTCTGCCATGGAGGAAATGGAGTTTCAGCGATTTATAGCCCCTTTGAAAGAGTCCCTGGAAGGTATTGTCCTCAGATCCTATTGAGGGAACTTCAGTAGCACCAATTTTCTTTGAACGTCAGACAAGCAACATTTACTTGCCTGTCTTGTTTGTTGTTCTCTTTGTCCAGGGTCTTACACTGCAGTTTGCGTGGAGATTAATAATGTGTACCTTAACAGGGCTGGGATAACATTTCACAGCTGGTGAGAACGGAGAAAGTCTTATCTGATATCAATCCCATATTATGTTTATCTAAGGAAAGTCATAGGTGTTGCCTGCAAATATGAAATCCTGTGTCCTTTTCAGCTTTTTTCTGCTGAAACTTAATCTGATTTCTCATGGATGGGACTGGTCAGCACAGCTCTCATAATAGGGAGAGTTGCTGCTATGAGTTCAGCAAGTGGACACTGGGCCCCAACTGCTGTAATGTTCACATGGTGGAAACACTGGCTTGCAGTTTTTCACTGTTCTTTTTAGTTTACAGACGTGAACAGAAGGGAAAGAAAGAAGCAAGGAAAGATAAAGACAAGAAGGCAGACTCAGAGGAACAAGATAAGAGCCGAGAAGATGATAATGATGATGATGATGAAAGGATGGAGGAAGAAGAGCAAAATGAGGAGGAGGAGGTGGACAACTGAGCTTGTCAATGGGACATAACAGGGTTGGGTTATTGTTACTAGGGCTATAAATGTTGTAAAGAAATCTTGCTGTGTCCCCTCTGGTTTCCAGTAGAGCTCCTTACTGTTCTTCTGGAATCTCTCTTTGGCTTTAGCATGTACATAAAGGACTTGGCTAAAGCGTTTCTCATGGGTGCCTCACCTCCTCCCTGTGCGCAGGGGACTTGGCAGCTTCCACAGGTGCTGAACAGACAGTAATGGGTCTGGTATTTTTATGCTGGATTAACTCTGAAGCAAAGGGAAAGAAGAGAAATGTCAGTTGCCTCAATACAGAAAAGACCTGGAGAACATGAAAAAACTTTTGAATAAGCTCGTTAAACCAACGGAACATCTGAATCCTGGTTCCTTAACCCTTTGGGGTTTACAGTCTACGTGATGATGTTAAGAGCCTTAGAAGCTGACTGTTTAAGCTTTTTATCCAAGTGATGTTTTTTCCTTCATTTTCTTGCATTCTGGCTGTGCCTTCTCTTTCCTGCTCTTTCAGTGATACTGCCAGCCTCACCAGCTGCATGCAGCACACCTGTACAAGGGCCAGTGGTTCCCTGAACTGAATTCCTCCCCTAAATGAACCAGAATTAAAAAAAAAAAAAAAAAAAAAAAAAGACTTCATAGCACTTGCAAAGTAAACTAATTACCACAAGTGCTTGTTTTGTGTCTTTAAAGCCCTCAGAGACAAAGAGGGATTTGTATGAAAAATCTGACGAAAGGCTAACTGGAAAATTGTGTCTGAGGAACAAGAAAAAATTGTGTCAAGTGTGCTGCAGCTCAGCAGTGGGCAGCAGTGGCTCTGATGGTCTCAGCTCCTTCCTCTGCAGAGCTGCAGTTTCTGCAGACAGGTTGGTGATTGCTGCAAGTGTTAGAATAGTGGTGGCTTTTGGGTTGGGTGGTTTTCTGAATTACTTTTTAAGTCACTCAAGATGTGTGGCCTTCCTTGTGATACTGTGGGCTCCAGGGATGCAGGGAGGACAGCACAGTCCTGTGTAGGAAGGCCAGCTTCAAACCTGTGCTGTTAAAATTGCCTCTGTGAGAAAGATGGGGTTAAACCAGCTGAAAAACTACCTGTTAGAGTAAGCTTATTTTTTGGACACAGTGCTTTATTATTTGACTGACCTTTTTCAAGACTAATAAACCTAACATTTAGACTTAACTGGAGTCTGGTAAAGGAAACATGAGGAAAACCTATAAACAAATCCATCAGTTTGGCTGATGTGCAGTATAAATAAACAGGAGCACTTGGGAGAAGCAGGGCATCTCTTTGTGTTCTGGAAAGGTGATGCAGAGCTGCCCTGCCTCTGCCATTTCTATGGCACAGTGACTGCTTCACAGATGCTCAGCCCCCAAAAAAGCTGAAGCAACAAGGATGTTCTGCTGTCTGCCTTCTGTCTGTAGGCAGTGGCAGATGAAAGGACTGCTGTGGTGTTGTCTTCCCAAGATCTCAAGAACAAAAATAGTTGTCCTGGGTTTGGGGGTTTTATTCTGTTTGTTTTGTTGTTTTTTCTTTTTAGTTTTCTAGTATGTATTTGGGATGCGTGTTCCACCAGGGACCAGTATTTAAATAAAAGTTAGATTCTTTGCACAACTTGAATCTTTGATTTCCGTTGTTAATAAATGAGCTTAGTTAATAAGTGAGCTCAGTGGCTTAAGTGCACGTCTGAGCACGCCGCAGAAGCAGCCGCGGCCCTGCGTGCGGGGCGGACGCGGGGCTCCGATCCGCCCGCCCTCCGGCCCTGTGGTGGGGAGGCGCATTGGGAGCGCGCCAAAACCAGCCCTTTCCCGCGCTCCGCCGCGCGAGACTTCACGCCTCCCCTGCGAGGAGCCGAGAGACGTCGCTATGCAAATCAGCGGGCGGGACTATGTAAATTTCGCTGGGCTCTCGCGGCGGGAAGCGGCGGCAGGTGAACGCAGGGTCGCGGGGGTTTCGGCGCGGTTCGCTCGGCGCTGCGGGCCGTTGCTGTGAGCTGGGGCGGTGCCGCGCGCACGGAGCGGCGGCCCGCGGTGCCCGGGGCTGGCACGCAGCGTTCCGGGGCCGGGAGGCGCTCGCACGGCCCGGCCCGTGGCGACGGGGGTGGCGGCTACGGGGGGCTCGGTCACCCACTGGCTCGGCGCTCCCGCGGGGAAGGAGCTCGGACGGGTATCGGGGCGTGCGGGGCCCCGGGATTCCTCAAGGGCAGAGAGGGCTCGGAGAGAGATCGTAACGCAGGCACCAACCCGCAGGTAGCCGGTTGTGCCCTTGGGCCGGGACTGTGCAGAGTGGGGACGGGCAGCTCCAGGACAGAGCCCTGGCGGTTCTGTAACAGCGGGGAGCTGTGTGTGGGGGGGGGTCAGGCTGGGGCTGAGGAAAGGCTCTGCCCCAGAAGGCGGTGGGCACAGCCCCGGGCTGCCGGAGCTCGGGACGTGCTGGGACACTGCTCTCAGCCGTGGCCTTGGGGTTTGGGTGGTGCCGTGTGGAGCCGGGGTTGGATTCGGTGATCCCTAGGGGTTCCTGCCAACTGCTGTGTTCTTCGTCCATTGGCCGTCGTGGCAAAGCCAGCCACAGACACCAACCACTTGGTGGCAGAACCTGGTGCTGAGGCACAGATCTCTGCCCCTGAGGACTCCAGCAGTGCCCGGCTTTAGGGCCAAAGGGAGAAAAACTCGGGGAAGTCACAGAGCAGTGGGTGCTGCAGACTGTGCTGTCACTCCCGTGGTGTCACTGCGTGTGCTCCTACAGCGTCTCAGAGCACACCGTTTCCAGATCCTATTTGAAAGACAAAATCCTTCTGAACTGACTGCCAGTTAATCTGCCCTCATTAGTGTAGCTCCATTGTGTCTCCTAGGAGCTCAGCTTTCCGCTCCAGCTGTTGGCAGTGCTCCCCAGCCCCTTCTTGCTGCCCTTTGAGCAGTGTCAGCACTCAGCTCAGCTGTTGGCAGCTCCCCTTGTGGGGGGCCCAGAGGCGGGGGTCCCCCTGCATTGCTGTTATCTCCTCTGGACAAGCCCTCCCCACTTCTCCAATGCGGACTGTGCCTGATATCTGCCCCTGACAGCACAGTGGGAGCTGCTGCCACTGCTCACACCCGTCCCCCATCATGGGATCAGCGCTCGGAGCATTTTTTGGATTCTCAAAGTGTGCTGTGCTCACTGAGCCTTTTGTTCTGCTGCCTGGAGCTGTGGCTGGGCACTGCCGGCCTCCCAAGGGCTCTGCTGTGTGGAATGGCAGTGACCCTGTGCTGGGCGTTCTTTCCTGCAGTGCCAGGACACTGCCTGCGTGCTGCAGCTGTTCCATACCATGCGTGAGCACCATCATGGTGCTTTTATAGTCCTTTTATGTATGTAATTGTGTAAGTAAGCAAGAGGTCGCTCCATCCCCAAGCCAGAAATGCAGACAGCTTGGTTCAATCTGGTGCAGATGGACAACTTGGCTCCAGGTTGGGATATTTGAAGGGTCTTTGAGCTTCTCCCAGTGTAAAACACAGGAACACCTTCAATTAAAGTTTCCCGGAGGAAAGGAGCCATTCCTGCTCAGCTCTACTCTGGTGTAGGATGCCATTCCTGGGCTGCAGTCCTGGAAAGCAGAGTGAGGTCAGCGTGTCCTCAGCTGAGCGCTGGTGGAGGAGCACTGAGGTTTAGTGTTGGGGAGATCAGCCAGGTGCTGACGCCCCATGTGTGCTGTGGGCTTGGGTAAGCCAAGGGTTTGTTGTTGTGAAATGTACATTTAAATTAACCAGTCACAAGATTATTAGTGAGGTGTGGAAGAAGAAAATACTGTTACAGGCAAGTCCTGTGGCTGGGCAGGGCGGTACACAGCCTGCAGGCTGATGTTGGCAGAGAAGGAATGGCATTTACTGAGTTATGGGGCGGAAGCTCCTGCCTCATCCCTGCAGCCTGGGAAGCAAATGCCCTGGGGAATTCACTGCAACTCGCAGATGTCCAAGCAGAGCAGCATGCAGGGCCATCACATTCTTTTTTCCCTATCTCACAGTCACCAGTTGAGCAGCAGCTGTGATTCCCAGTGAGCAGGGCTCATTTCCTGTGTTGAAGCCCATTAGTCTCAGGCTCGTATCTGCCAGCGCAAGAAGGTTTTGATCTAGGCATAAAGCAATAAAAGTGCTTCAGTGGAACCCAGCCTTTGACCTCCTGCTTTTTTTTTTTTTTGCTGTTTCAGGGTCTCTTCTCACAACATCCCCGTGCATTCCCAAGATGCAGGCAGAGTCACTCCTTCACAGTGGCTACTTCCATCCCGTGCTGCGTTCATGGCAGTGCACAGCCACCACCTTCAATGCCTCCAACCTTGTCTACCCCATCTTTGTCACGTGAGTGAGCCCTGGTGCTCTGGGCTGGGGACAGACCAAACTCAGGTTGGCTGGGCACTCCCTGAGCATTCAGAGGGGTTGAGACTCCCCAAAAAATTCCCTGTGGACAAGTGTGGGGCAGGGGTTGAGTTCTGTGGGCACAGCCCATCTGCAATCTTCCTTCTCACATCGAGTGCTCACATCTCTGTCCCATCTGCCCTCTGCAGTGACAGCCCTGATGCAGTGGAGCCGATTGCCAGCCTCCCTGGACAGGCCAGGTAAGGGCCAGAGGCCGCCAGGAGCTGCCTTGCAGCTGGAGATGATCAATAGACACGGGCAACACTCCTGTATTGTACATATTTCCTGTCCTGAGGATCCTCCCAGCATCAAGTAGGGTGGGAACATCCCCCTGCTTAAAGCAGGGAAGGAGAGCAAAATGGGAATGCTGGGTGGTGGCAAGGTCCCATTGGGCACACAGAGAAGCTGGAAGAGAACAGGGAAGCATACAGCAGCTGGATGTGGACTCTTGTCCTGCATTCAGCCTTGCAGGATGTGCATGCAGCTCCTGCTGTGTTTGTAAGGTTTGGACAGACGCCAGAGTGGGATGTTCCCAGGGCAGGGTATGTTGGGCAGGTTTTCCACAGCAGCCATTGCTGTTGGGCAGTGGGAGGTGGGTCAGCATGGGAGGGGCTCCTGGTAGCTTGGTCAGATCAGGATCTTGTTTCTCCCAGCACACAATCTGCTGGCCCTGGGCACTCAGCCATGGTTGTGCAAGCAGAGTGCATACAGGAGAGCCTGCACTCTGTGCCATGCCAGGCACCATGCCCAGCACCCTGCACGCTGTGCTGAGCCCAAGCCTGGCTTGCTCAGGGCTGCAACAGGAAAGCTGAGATAAGGGATCCAAGGGCAGGGCACACTCATCCTTTCAGAGCAGAGATGGCACAAGGCTCCCTGCCTGGTAGATAACTGTGCTGTAGCCCCAGATAAGGACCTGGATTGTTCCTTCCAGCAGCGCCTCCCCTGTATCTCCCACTGCTGCTTGGTATGCGCCAGCATCCAACTTAATGATTAACTCGGGTCCATCCCTGAGTGGCCCAGCAGGCAGGGCCTGGCCAGCAGCTGGGTGCACTGATCAGGTCAGAGGGCTGTGTGCTGGCACTGGGTGTACTCACGGTGTATTTGCTGGATCACAAAGATGCGCAGAGCAGAATGGGCTGCTGGTACCCAAGTGGTTGCTGTATGCAGCTGAGCATCCCTGCCCCTGTACGTGAGCAGCCCCCTCTGCCTTGTGGCAGTGATGTGGGGTGTCCAGATCAGCCTTCAGCATGGTTCC